GGGGAGGGGAGGGGGAACGAATGGCGAGAGAGGTGCAGTGAACAAAGGAGACGTGCATACCGGAATTCTCGCGCGATTACGCACGAGGGATCGCACGACGCCCTATACGTATGAGGGTCGACGACGTCTCACACCATGACGTTGAGGTCGTCCACGACTGGAGTGGAAGAGGAGGGAGAGGGGGGAGGGGGGTGGAGGAGGTTCGGGGAAAAAAGTCCTGTGCACCGTTTTTTCTACTCTTTTTTTTTTTTATTTTTTAGACTCTCACTCTCTATATTATGCGCGACTTTGTACGTTTCTCACGCGTCCTCCCTCAGTCTCCCTCGTTTCTCGCGCTCTCCTCTCGTCGCGCGACGAAAACGCGAACCGTATCCAGAGGGCGACGATCGGGCGAAACAGCTGTTGGTTGGCGTCCGCGAGAGAGAGGTCCGGCGGAGGGCAAAGCGGGTGCGAGCGAGAGAGGGTTCACTGGCTACGCCATAATAACAGAGAGACCCACGCGAAAATCCTATCCACGGTTAGTGGCTGGCGTGGTGGGGCATGACACGTAAATTCCATCTCTCTTGTTCGCCTCCTAGGCCACGAGATACGCAAGGACGATCTACGTTTCGCGACAGTCCAAGTCCCGAGGGGGGAAAATCGCCTCGAGTGGGCGAGAGAAAGAAACATTTTCAAGCGGGACAGAGAGAGGGGGCAGTCGGAAGGTACGCAAGAAGGGTCACAGGGAGGGAGGGAGGGAGGGATGGATGGATGGATGAATAGATGGATGGGAGGACAAACGGTGTCGACGAGGCGGACGAGAGAGGGAGAGAGACAGACTATCATTATGTTCCTATCGAGTCACATCGTCGAGAAAGGAAGATTCCTCATCTCGATCATCGATCTCAATTCTTTCCTTCATCGATCCCGATCTTCGCCGTTTCTCTCATTTGTACGGTTTTCTCCCAGCGTGTTTCTCTTTCTCTCTTTTTCTCTCGACACATCTTTTTTCCTAACTGAGGCACGAAGCTCCTGCGGGAGACGATCGCGATTGCGAGATCGACCTACCCGCGACGCGCCCCGAGCTTCCCATTTATGTAAACGCAATGAGCGTCACGAGCGATCGCGCGCATCAGAGACGCACGAGCGACGGCGATGACGACGACGAGGATGGCGTTGATCGTAGTATCGCGAACGTCACGCGAGATTCCACGATCCATCCGCCAGAGGGGTGGCCTGAAAAGCCACGAGCACATACCCCCTGATTCACTTTAACCTTAATCGCGAGGCCAGGCCAAAGTAGGCTTGACAAAACGAAACGCGTCGATTCGCTGCGGACATTTCCGTGTCGAATTTTGATCGAGTCTTTCGCACGTTGACGATCTTCCCTGGTCTGTAAACGCTCGTCGGCGACAACTGTATCTCTCGTACGGTCCTTTATTTACTTACATCAACTCACGACTTTTCCGCGAACAAATCTCTCTCTCTACTGGGAAATTTTTCTCTAGTGTTCCACTCTGGCCCCGGGATTCGCGGTTGGTGCTCGGCCGCGATTGCGCACAAGCCGGATATCCTGCGCGCCGCCGCGGCCTTTAAGCCCGTGTCACACTACGGATTGTGGACACGGATCGGATTTAGAGACCTAGAAAACAGAGATGCGTCATTGAAGGGTATGGCTTGATTGGCTGTCTAAATCACGTGATCAGAGAGCCATTTTAATTCACTATTGCATCTAATAGATATAGTTTTATAACGTATGTACATATATATAGAGAGAAAAATTTAGACAATACAGTGTCAAAGTGCAATAAAAAACTATTATTATGGTGTAAGTATTCTTATTTGTGTGAATATTTAATATCGGACTTAACCTAACCTAATCTAATCTCTCTACCTTTTGCATCAACTGTCATCAGCTTATTGGTCAAGAGCACTTATATTGAATTAAAATGGCGGTGGTTACCTAACCCAACCGACGCAATGTCGCATCTCTGTTTTCTAGGCCTCTAATCGGATTGAGATTGCGGATCGGGCATCGGAATTCAGCCAATCAAGATAATGCTGCTTTATTTTGATTGGCTGAATATCGATAAGCGATCCGCAATCTCAATCCGATCCGCGTCCACAGTCCGTAGTGTGACACGGGCTTTAGATATCTTTTTACATAGGAACGTTGTGGGCTTTCTATTCGTCAATTTTGAACACGTGACGTGTTTTTAGCGAATAGCAATCTTACAATACTCGACGCTCGGCGATGCCTATGTAATGGCACCTTTTTGCTTTTAGGCGAGAAACATACACTTTTGCATAACGCATGAAGCCCTAAACACAATGCGAAGAAATAGCGATAGCGATAAGTTTCAACTTATCAGAAATCGAATACACCGGAATACGCATTTTTTATAGGCTTCAGATTGGCTGTCGCAACAAACTTGCGATCGGCTTGCAACTAATGTAGAACCGGCATTAGATTCTCATTCTCGTATCTCGCAGCTAATCAGATTACGCATTGAAGATTGAGATTGAAATTTGACCAATGAGGATAGAGGAATTTTAGCTCCTATTATTTTGATTGGCCATCTTTCAATCTTCAATATCAATCTTTAATGAGTAGTCTGATTCCGGCCTAATGCCAAATTGATGCAGCTAATGGACAAGTTACAATTTTTATATGGTGACTTTCATCGTTCGAAATAATAGTTGCAGCTTGAAAATTAGTTCTATTGTTAGTGTTGTTGCAAAAATAATGCTAATTGAGCTATATTATCCGTATAATCTTTCTTTGTAATTTAAGAATAAATGATGTTATAACTTATACATAAATATAAAAATAAATACTAAAACTTTACTAGATGTTCCAAATTTTTTGACATACCACTTGTGGAAAGGTAGAGCGAATTACAAGTAGCCAAAAAATTAGGACATTCTGTATATATAAAAAGTTTATATGAATAATATAAATATTTTTATTTAAACCATTTTTATAGTGTATTTATGGTATTTTCTATTATTTTCTAAGTTAAAGTATGATAATAAAAAATAATAGCAAATATACAATATATATATATATACATATAAACATATATAATAAACCATAAAAATGTGTTGATAAATAAGAAAATAATATTATTCACATAAACCGTTTTGTATGGATATAGTTTCAATATTTATTTCTATATAAGTGAAATATATATTGGTGTAGTAAAAAGAAATCCATTATTTTTCCAATAGATTTCATGCAAAAATAATGGATTTCTTTTTACTACATCAATATATATTTCACTTATATACTAATATATAACAGGAAGTATAAATTAATATATTTGTAATTTTGAACTTTTTGCAGGGATTTCATACAGAGATAATACTTTTTTAACAATTCTAACAATATAAAATAAACTTACATTTTTATATATATGTACTATATATACTATATTTTTATACAATACTACAATATATAAAATATTATTCTTATCATTCATATTTGTTAAATATTGGACTTCAAAAAATTGTATACTCTCATAATCATTATTTGCAAAGTATTTTACAAGTAAACATTTTTACACATTATTTAAAAAAATGTTCTGTACCAAATTATTTCTTTTTTACGAAATCACTTGAATTGGATCAAATTAAAACTATATTCAAATTATATTTATAATTCCTAGCTTGTTTTGCCTGAGTTACGTTTTTTTGAACTCCTCTCACGTTTGGGAATGACACCTAACAATGGATGTCTTAGTTTCAAATTATCAGGAAATTGTACAGAGCTCTCTGTAGATATCGGTTTTACTTCTGGTGCTCCAGATAGTTTTCTTCTCACTGACAAGAAACCAGCTGGCTTGATATTTACTAAAGGAAATATCAGCATTAATATAAAAGAAAACAATACAACAAGGAAACATGCAAAACTTCTCTTCTGATTTTCTAATAAAAAAACTTTTTACCAGTTTTGTACTGTGGAACATCCTTCTTGGAATTAAAAACACACGTGACATTGTGACTTGTATTATGAGTGATTATACAATATCTTTCGTCTTTAATTCTAAACTTTGACTTGTCCTCGAAAACTATTGTCTGACCATGAAGTTCTTGTGGGTCTATCTACATAACACAAGATTATATTCTCAATACATTAAAAACAATCATAGGTTAGTATTCAGTTTGCCAGTTCAATCTTATATTCAAGATTGCCTTAAATACAATTTTGAGATATTACACAATCATTTTATTGATTGGGTTGATTTTTAGTTCTGATTTATAACAGATACAATCAGCTTTTAGGTTTAAGCTTTGAATTCATCTTAATTTGCTATCTAATCAGTTTGCTTAAAATTTATAGTCTATTGATAGTTGCAAAAACATATGCATAAAGGAAATTATCCAATCTCATTCTATTATAAGAATACACATAAAATGTAATTAAATAATTTTCTTTACATATACATTTATGTGATTATACAAATTTGTCTGAATAAAGACTCTTAAGATGTTTTCCACATAAAATTTGCATGCTCATTCTTGTTTAATATTTGATGACAAAAAGGTGAAATAATTACAAGTAAAAATACCTGTGAAAAACTCACAAGTATTGCACCATTAGAGAGTTTTAAGACTTCAGATAACCTTGGAAACATTTTTTGCCAGAAAAGTTATAATTTAAATCTTAGAACAAAAAAGGTTAAAGACTTATTGTATCTTTAGTATAAGTTAAAATATTAAAATTACTTTTATTAAGACAATCTTGATTATGGATGGTTTTTATAGTCAGTTCTTATTACAAGAATATTTTAAGTAATATCTTAATCTTAAGACATTAGTACAAAATAATTTGATTGGTTCGTGACATCTTAAGATTGAACTTTAAGATGATCTTCAATATAAGAACTGATTCTAAATATTTACTATGTACTTTTATGGTATTGATGGTGTGGACATGCAAGTCCTGAGTTCTTTATCACTACTTTGTTTTGTAACTGAGTATGGGTCTCACCTCATAATTAGCCACATAACACATGTTGAAGATATTATTTTGTGATACAATATCTTGGCTTGTTGCGTTAACTGGATCAAATTGTTTTGCTAAAGATGACTCAAATTAGAGTTGAAACATTCACAAGATTTTTTTTTTTACTAAATTTATATTAAATATCGCTAATGTACAACCAGTACTGATCCCTATAGCCTTTATTTATATTGTACACATCATCTTTATTTTTTATTAATAAGAACTGACTATAAATATTGGTCTATGAGATAAAACTATCAATTATCTCTTTCATTGTTTGGACTTACTAATCTAGGAACATCCATTATCCAGATTTCTTCACTATCTGATACATCTTCCAAATTAAATGTGGAAGATACATTTTCCTCTTCCAATGTCTCCTTTTGAACTATTTCTTTGAGCTGAAAGATAAATAGACAATTGCACAAAATTCACACACAATTAAAAAATTATAATAAAAATAATTAAAATTTAAATGGAATAAATGTATGATCCATTTACAGTGCGTGGTCTGGACGAAATTGTAGTGGATGATGGCAATCCATTAAGTGTCATCTCGTTCAATCTTTTATCGTCGTCGTTTGAAGTCTGCACGATCTCGTCAGCTGCTGCGTTTTCGTCGAACGATTTGTTAGTAGTTGTTTTTAGAATGCTTTTGCGCGATTTAACAGGTTTGCTAGATACTTTAGGTGACTGCTCTTTTGTGTTTATCGTGATAGATTTACGCTTGTGATTTACAGGTGGAGTATCCACGACGTTCGCCATCAGTACCATCGACTTGTTTAATTGAGTGTTCAGTTCCGTTATTGAGTCTTCGTTACCGGAGTCCGGCATTTTTTTCAAATTGTCCTAAATTATGTAAACTAGCTGACAAAACGATCTCACCAACAAGCATAACAATACGGCACAATGCAGCACGAGGACAGAACACGTTTGGTAGGTTATGATTCATTACGCGCGGTAAGCGGCCGCACAAAGCGTATTGGCAGAGAGAAACCTGAGAGAGGACATAACGACCCATGGTATAAGAATAAGGGTATGCTCACGCCGTGGACACCCACTGCGCAGTCAAAGCGTGACGTCACTCTCGGGGCCAATCAGATCGCCCAAACGAGAACATGGTGGCTCCTGATACTTGACATGGTTAATGTTCGGTGATACATACGATACGTACACAATGTCCTGTTGTATAAAAGGTTGTGGCAATTATTATCGCAAAACAAAATTGCTTAACGGAAACAGCATAAAATATTTTTCGTTTCCGAAAGATTTAACGATTGCATCTAAATGGCTTGCTGCATGTGGAAATCAAAACGTTAATATTAAAAAAGGTAAGATTTTGTATTTCTTGTAAATGTACAAATGTAACGAAATCAACTGTATATAATTTTGCTAAAGAAATACAACTAAAGAAATACAACTAAAGAAATACAATATATATATCTCTGAAGGAAAAGGTATTAACATTTTTATATATTTGTTTCATAATAAATTCTTCTATCTTTGTTGAGTTTGTAATGTTTACTTATGGTTACATTTTGTTACAAGATATTCATTAGTTCTTAAATTATTTAAAAACGTATTTTTCCTGTAAACTTTAAATCAAAATAAAATAAAATATCTGACGAAAATGCTGCTAACATAAGTTGTTTGGAAACAGCAGTTTTAAATTTACCGCTTGTTTGTGTGACGTCACACTTTGACAATTTTAATTGGTCGCATGCGCGTGAGCATACCCTT